ACCCTCACAGATCCATCCCCGGCCCGAACAAAAAGGCAGACGCATGGAGCCTGGGGCTCTGGTCGGGATTGTGTGCGCTGCTGCATTTGTTTGGTGGCAGCGTGTCAGGGATCGCCGATCTGTCGGCGGGGCTTCGCCGAATCCAGGTCGATGCACCCCGACCTGTATATCCCAGACCTGCGACGTCCTGGTTTCTGCAACGACGCGACCCCTAGAGGTCCGGACTTGTTCCCCCGGCCCAGTCTTCAGCCCGAGTCGTTTTTTTAGGGTTTCGAGGAAGGGTCTCCAGAGGCCAAAAAATTCGCGGGAAACTTTTCGACTCGAGGGGGCCTGGGACCGCGGCGCTCTCTTCCCCCCCCCTTTCTCCCCCCTCACAGGAGGCCGAAACTCGCGGGAAACTTTTCGACTCGAGGGGGTCTGGGACTGTAATTTATATATTCTATCAATCAATCATGCATACATACATGTCTCAGCCGATCTCTATCCTTCATTCCCTTCGAGATATAGCGTATTGAATGTTGTGATATTTTTATATGTTTTGTTGATATATATATATATATATATATATGTATATATATATATATATATATATATATATAGATCATGGGCACTGATATGAATGGATTGGAGCCCTACTGGCTGACATAATTTAACCAAAACTCAGAACCTGGTTCACCAAATTTAGGATGTACTGCATCTTCGCATTTTGCAGCTAAAGAATTATGTAATGCCACAGGGCCCCCAGGGGGCCGAAACTCGCGGGACACCTCCCGACCCGAGGGGGCCTGGGACCGTGGCGCCCCCTCCCCTTCCCCCCTCCCCCCGCAGGAGGCCGAAACTCGCGGGGAACCTCCCGACTTCGAGGGGGTCTGGGACCGTTGTCCCTGACCTTCCAGAGTGCCGAAAAATAGCCCTCCAGACCTATAGACCCATCTGGGCCGCCCAAAACCTCGACAGGAATGAAGATATCGAGGTCCTGGTGCTATTTTTTAGCCACCCTGGAAGGTCAGGAGTGCCCCCCCCCCCGCAGGAGGGCCGTGGGGCAGCCCTGCTGGCTGGTCGTCGCCTGGGGCGGCCGGCCGCCGCCGCCGCGCCCGCGGCCGCCGCCGCCGCCGGGGCGCGAGTGGCTCGGGGGCGGCGGCGGGGAGGTGCTGCCGGAGGTGGCGGCCGGCCTCGGCGCAGTGGCCGCGGAGGGGCCGCCGCAGGGCGGCCAGGAGCCAGCCTCCCTCCTCCTCCTCCTCGTCCTCCTCCTCCTCCTCCTCCTCCTCCTCCTCCTGCTGCTCCTCCTGCTCCTCCTGCTGCTCCTCCTCCTCCTACTGCTCCTCCTCCTCGTCCCGCGCGCAGACTTCGGGCGCGGCTCCCCTGACCTTCCAGGAGTGCTAAAAATAGTAGCACCAGGACCTCGATATATCTGATTTCTTGTCGAGGTTTTGGGCGGCCCAGATAGGTCTATAGGTCTGGAGGGCTATTTTCTAGCACTCTGGAAGGTCAGGGTCCTGGGAGGCCAGATTCAGACTTCTTCTCCGGCCCGAGTCCGGCTCAGGCTTTTCATCCCGCGTGATCCAGTCCCGCCCGATCCGGCTTATGCCCGCCGAGCCCGGCTTATCCCCGCCCAGTCCGGCTGAATCCCGCTTGATCCGAGGCCCATTCTGGCGTAACAGCCCCCCTAATGGGGCTCAATCCTCCCGAATCCTTCCGACGAAGAGCTCCCAGTAGTTACCTCCTAACGTAGAGGAGGGGGGATTTCTCGGATCCACGCTTGGGCCCCCTGGCGGCGCCTCCAGCGCCGCCCCTGGCGCGCGGAGCGCGCCAGGGAGGGGGGTCCAGCGCAGATCCAAGAGATCCGCGCGGAGCACCAAATATGTGTATGTTTATGACGTGTTTTCCTCTTCTGACCCAGGCGTTCTCTCGTTGTGAAAAATCAGGACGGAAGGTTTGGGGGGCGTTGTCGGCATCCACTCGCCAGGCCCCAGGACCGTCAACGAAAGACTCAGGAGGAGAAGCTGGTCCTGGGGAGAGGGTCGGGACTTCCTGAGAGAGCGTATTGAAGAAGTCAGGACGCCGCATGTCTGACGAGTTTGAGCTTCTCTAGGCCTACTAGGTCCTAGGTAGGGTCCGAGTGGTTGGGGTCGGGGGGGTGGTGGGAGGGGGGCTCTTTGAAGCCTTTGGCTCTTTCTGGGCTTCCTGGGGGCTCTTCGCGGCCGCGGCCGGGTCCGCCTCGAGGTTGTGGCCAGAGCATAGAGAGATCCGGGGCCGTTTCTCCAGGGTCGGCATGAAGAGAAAGGTTGGCCTCGCGCAGAAAGGGGGAGCGGCTGGGGCCGGGAGCCTTGAGACGGGGGTCAATGCAAACAGGGGTGGGGGGAGGGGGGGAGGCTCGTGATTCGGTCTCCTCTACACTCCTGCTCGGCCTGGCTGGCGTATGCTCTGTGCCTTTGTGGGCCCGCTTTCTTTTTCTTTGCCTCTCGCGCCTCTTTTGCTTTCTGCTACGCGCATGTCCGAGGGTTTCGAGGTGCTCTGGGCCTCCTGGATGGGAGCCGAGCAGCTGGGGTCGGAGGATCGCGCCGCATCGCCGATGCGTCGGAGATTGCGGCTCGATGTGGAGCCTGATTTTCGCCGCGCTGGCGTTCGCCGATGCACCTCGGACGTCGCCGATGCATCGGCGATGCGTCGACGATGCGGCGCGACCCTCAGACGCCTTGTACTCCCAGCCACGCGCAGAGGGGGGCGGGGGTGGGGGGAGGGGGAACGCGTCTTAGAAACATCCCTGCTTCTAAGAAGCCCTCCTCAGAGCCCCGAATCATCAGGGGTAACTCGGGTCAGGGGTAACGCGGGTTCCTTTTTCGGGAGTCCGAACCCGACTTACCCCGGACCCGAGTTACCCCGGATAACTCGGGCATCCAGAGCCCCGAATCATCAGGGGTAACTCGGGTCAGGTATAACTCGGGTTCCTTTTTCGGGAATCCAAACCCGAGTTACCCCGGACCCGAGTTACCCCGGATAACTCGGGCGCCCAACCTCCCCTCTTCCCCCACCCCCTTGTGCGCGCCGCCAGGTCGGAGGGGCCGCCGTAGGTCGGCCGGGAGCACCGCGGCGGCGCCGTGGGCGACAGGCAGGTCCGTATCCCGTCTCCGCGGCCTCGTCTGGCGGGGCCCCTGGGCCGCGGCCCCGCGGATGCGGGGCGCTTTTGTTGGCGGCGGGCGCCGGGGGGGCCTAGCGCCGAATTCGAGAAATCCGCGCGGATCTCCGACTGTTCCTCTATACATATATATATATATATATATATATATATAATCCTCTCTCTATATGATATATAATATAGATATATATATATATATATATATATATTTATATATGTATATATATGGCTCAAGTGCATTGAGGAAGGTCGCTCGATGAGCTTCAGCGAGTGGCTCTCGACCGAAGCAGTCCGCGCCGCCACCACGAGCCTGGCGATCTGGGCTGCGAAGCCCGAGTGTCCTCCGTGCATCTGCAAGCCCTCGCTGGTGTGCGGCAGCGGGCTGGAACCTCACAGACAGGACTGCCCACCTCAGGTGGGGACCTGGCCGCTGTCAGCCGTCGTGCTGGCCGCGGTGCTGGGCCTGGCCGCAGGCGCGCTGCTGGGCCGCTGGTTCGCTCCGCCTGCTCCGGCGCGGGCTCTGGCGGCGATCGACCAGTTCGAGGAGGAGGCCCGGGCCCAGGCTGCTCTGGTTCGCGGGCGGCTGCAGGCCCAGTGAGGCCATGTCGGCGGCGGCCGCCGCGGCAGCGGGCCATCCCCTCGCCCTCCTCGGCCTGGACGAGGGAGATTTCATCTTGATCAGATACCAGGTCGGGGGGGCGAGGATCTGGCACGAGCGCCTCATCCTGGCCTTCCAGCCCGTCGCGCCGTTCGGATGCGGGATCCTGACCCCGGACGGCCACGGCTACGTCGAGGTCATCGCGAATGGAGGCGCGGACGTGGCAGAGTGCTGCATCCCGGCTGGAGGCGCCGCTGGAGGCAACTCGGCGGCGACGGGCGGGGATCAGGTCTACCGGTTCCAAGCGCTCCCCCCCTTTTTTTTTTTCTTTTGTATTTTTTTTTTTTTCTATTTTTTCATTTTCCTTTTTTGTTATTCCTTTTTTTTTTGTCTGCTTTTTTTTCTCTTCTGTTTTGACCTTTGTTTTTTGGGCTTTTTCTTTTTGGATTTTTTTCATTCCAATTTTTTTGTTCTTTATTTTTTTTTCTACTTTATTTTGCTTGTGCGGTTTTTTTTTTTTATCTTATTTTGCCTCTGCCGGCGGCCGTCGCGGCCGCGGCCACCGCCACCCGGGGCACTCTCGGGCTCGCTCCGGGTCCGGCCGTGGCCCTGAACACCGTGGGCCGGGTCATCGCGCCGCCGGCCCCCGCGCCTGCTGCTGTTGGCGCCCCTGCCGCCGCGGGCGGCCCGGCCGCTGGCGGCGTGGCGGGCCTCGCGGCGGCCCTGGGTGCGCCCGCTGCGGTCGGAGCCCCGGCCCCTGGAGCAGCGGCGGGCGCGCTCGTGCCGGCCGCAGCGCCCGCTGGGCCCGCGCCGGGAGGCGGGCTGGTGCCGGTGGCCGCAGCTCCCGCGGCTGGCGCTCTGTTGGCCGCTGGGCCCGTGGGCGTCCCCGCACCCGCGGCCGCCGCGCCCGCTGCCGCGGCCGTTGCGCCCGGATGGCCTGACCTAGGGGCAGGCGCCCTGGCGAATGCTTTCGCCGCGGTGGCGGCGGCCCCTGGCGGCGACGCGCGGATGCAGGCCAGCGTCTTGGACTCCCAAGGGGTCCGCAAGCTCTCTACGTATATTCCTATTTTTTATTCTTTTCTTTTTTTTTTTTTTTTTGACCATTTTTGGTATACTCTTTTGGTATATTTTTACGGTCTACTTTTCTTATTCTCCACTTCTTTACTTTTTTTTTTCGTATTTTGAGTTTGTTCTATTTCCTACGTCGACTTCAGGACGGCCGTAATGAGGATGCACGAGTTACCTTGGCATGACTGGCCGCTCAAGGGCCCCAGAACGTTGTTGTGGGTGCTGAACTACATCTGCCGGAACGGTGGCACACCCCTCGGTCGCCACACCAAGTGGAAGGCCGAGGCCTACCTGGACGACGAGGACCCGGGGGTAGACGTGCACCTACTGTGCTGCAGGCTGTTGGAGTTCGGAGTCGTGTATGATCAGACTCATGCGACCAATCTAGCTTCTATGGAACTGGTCGGCCGCACGCTGCAGACCCAGGAGGAGCTGTACCGCGACAGGTTCGCGCCCACGTCCGAGCACGGGAACGACGCTGCGCTGCTGTCCGGCGTCCAGGACGCGGGCAGCGGCATCTGCATGGCCCCGGCGCTGCGCGACTGGCTGGCCGCCGAGAAGTCGCGCGAGGCGGCGATCGCCAAGGAGCGGCGCAAGGCTCGCGAGGAGCGTGCCTTGGCCGCCGGGACCGGCGCGGCTGGCTCTGGCGGCGCCGAGGGGCGCGGAGGCCGTGGCCGCGGCGGCCGAGGCCGTGGGCGACGGGGCCGTGGGGGCGGCAATACCCCAGGCGCCGATGCCTGAGACGAGCCGAGGGGGGGCAGATGGGCCAGCCTCCCCTCGGGACTGCTGTGCGGCTCTCGCCGCAGGCCCCCGGCCGCCGGGGACACGCCGCCAGCGCGACGTCTTCCCGCTGCCGGTCGTGCCGGCCGCTGCTCCGCGCGGGGTGGAGCCTGGCGGTCGTCGCGCTGCTCGTCGGCGCGGCCTTCGCACTCATCATGATGATCGCGTTCGAGCGGCCACCAATGCACTCAATTCACTTTATGGCTCTCGGTCCTCGCCTCCATCTGCAGCGCACGAGGGGCAGCGCCAGGCCATCATGCATATCGACAGTTGCGTCAAGGAGCTGGGCGCGCCGCCGCCCGAGTTCAGTGACACGCGTGCTGGTCAAGACGGGGCCCTCCGGGAGCTCCTCTCCTGCGCCAACCTGTACGGTTCGGGCGCCGCCTCGTCGTCCCCCTACGTCCGCGACCGTGTCGCATGGCCCGCTGAAGGTGCTGCGCCCGTCGAGCTCGTCGGGCTTGTGCAGCCCCATGACAAGGCCTGGCTGGAGGGATGGCAGAGCCATATGCTTCGAGATCGGCAGTCCGCCGAGGCCTTGGCACGTTCGGCCTGCCCACGCGGGCCGTACTGCGACCCGAACCTGTTTCGGGACGCGACTGCCTACGGCCAGTTTTTGATGGAGATGCGCCGGAGGCAGATGGTCACCTTCGCGGCCGACAGCGGTCAGCCGCACACCGTCGGCCTCTTCTTTGTGCCCAAGAAGTCGGGGGCCCTCCGGATAATTTTCGACACGAGGGCCGCCAACTGCAAGTTTTTGGATCCGCCGGCCACGAGGCTTCCTTCTGCAGCGTCCTTCGGCGCTATCGAAGCCCCGGCGGACGGCATGTACCTCTCCACGTGCGACCTGGAGTGCGCCTTCTACCACATGCGGCTGCCGCGCGGGATGGAGACGCTGTTCACCTTGCCGTCGATCTCGGTCGCCGTGCTGCAAGAGCTCGGCATGATCGACCTTGACTTCGATCCTCTCTCGCGCGTGACGCCCATGGTGACCGTCCTCCCGATGGGCTTCTCGTGGGCGTTGCACTTCTGCCAGTCGGCTGCGCGCTCAGTCCTTGCTGTTGAGGGCCATAAGAGGACCATGACAGCCATGGACGGTCAAGCTGGTGTTGTAGTCACCGACCCGGTCTCCGTCGGCGTCGGGGCTTACGTCGACAACATCCTGGCGTTCGGTGCTGAGAAGGGCGCGGTCGACCAGGCTATGACACGGCTGGTGGCCGCCTTCCGCGCCCGAGGGCTTCCTGTCCATGAGATCGAGCCCGCCGCGAAGGACCTGGACTTCTTGGGCCTCAGCTTGAAGCACGGGAGGTACCTCCGGATCAAGCCGCGGAACATCTGGCGGCTGCACTCGGCAATCACTGGGCTTCTGAGGCGTGGCTGGTGCAGCGGCCACATGATGCGAGCAGTTCTGGGTCATGTGACATGGTCGTCTATGATTCGCCGAGAGGTCCTCACCGTGCTCCATAGCGTCTACGGCTTCGTGGCGGCGTACGGCGAGAGGCAGGGCAGGATCTGGGCGTCGGCGGCGAAGGAGTTAACCATCATCCGTGACCTCCTGCCCGTCTTGTCCGGCGACCTCGCGTCCGCGTGGCACCCCACGTTGACGGCTAGCGACGCATCGCCCTTCGGACTTGGGGTGATGCGGAGACGCGCGCCTCGCGCCGTCTGCGCCGCCGTCGGCCGTTGCTCGGAGGAGTGGCGGTTCAATGTCGAGGGCGGGCACCAGGCTCGGCTCCGGTCACTGCGAGAGGGCGGCTTGGAGCGTCCCAGCGTTGAGTCAGAAAACGTCGACCCCTCTCGGCCTCACTCTCCAATCGACCCTTCTCAGCTCGGTGCTCATCATGTCAGCCCTGCGGGCGGTCAAACATGTCCGGCGCCGTCGTGTGTCTCGGGAGCTACGTGTACCTCTTTGGGCCTGCAGGGGGACCCCTACGAGGAGCTCGTGGGCCAGCACGGGGACCCCTACAAGGAGCACGTGGGCCTGCACGAGGACCCCTTCATCTCCAAGGGCCAGCACGGGGACCCCCACGTGGTGCTCATGGCAGACAACAGCCTCCCGCGTGCTGATGCCTCTTACGTCGTGGGCGACTCTTGGGACATGGAGGAGGTTCCTGGGCACCTTACCCGCATGGATGCCTGGAAGTCAGTCTCGGCGCAGTCGGTCTCCACGGGGGCCAACATATTGTACTTGGAGGGGGAGGCTCTGGTCACGTCCTATCGGCATCTCCTCCGAGGTCTGGGCGCTCATGGGGCTCGCATGGTCGCCCTCGTGGACAACCTCCCCTTAGCCCTCGCCTGTGCAAAAGGAAGGGCTCGGTCAAAACACTTGAGGTCGTGCCTGAACCAGCTGTGTGCGTTGTCCTTGGCCACTGGCTCGAAGTTGTTCGTCCGCTGGATCGCCTCGGAGCGTAACCCAGCGGACGGCCTCAGTAGAGGCAAGCTCGGCTGGTTCACCGGCCATCGACACCTTGGCCATGCGAGGACCCGCCTCGGTCGTCGCGGCGCTCTGCCTTCTGTTCGGGCTCCTGGCGCGCGAGGCGCAGGCCATGCCGAGGCAGAGGGCCCCTACGCCTTCCGCCCGGACTCGCCGGCGCGCCCAGCTGGCGGCGGCGGCGGCGCGCGGGCGGCCGCTGGTGGGCGCCCTGACGCTCTTGGAGCAGCTGGCCGTGAGGCCGGACACGGAGAGGCCCTGTACCGCCAGCTCCTGCAGACGTTCATCACGTACTGCTACGACCACCGCCGGGACTGGAGCAACCTGCGCGAGCTGGACCGCCTGCTCGCCGAGTACTTCACCTCTCGTTACATCTCGGGGGCGGCGGCGAGCGTCGGATCGCAGACGGTGGCGGCGCTGGCGCACTTCACGCCGGGGCTCCCCAGGCGGGTGGGCTCGCTCTTGCCCCGCGCCTCACGCGCGATGCAGGCGTGGCGGAGGCGGGCCCCGACCCTCACGCGGTTGCCCATCCCGAGGGCGGTCATGTTCGCGCTGGCGGGCGTCCTGATCGCCTGGCAGCAGGCACCCATGGCGGCGTGGCTGGCGATTGCGTTCTCGGCATACCTCAGGCCTGCCGAGGCTCAGCGGCTGACCACGGACAGCATTGTGGAGCCCTCGGCGTCAGCGGGGCCAGCTTACCAGTTCTGGGGCCTGCTCCTCCACCCCGCAGACCGCGGGCAGGCGGGCAAGACGGGCGCCTTCGACGAGTCGATCCTCTTCGACCTCGACCTGTACTTGGTGCCGGTGCTCATGGCGCTCCGCTGTCGGGGGGGCCCGGGCACGCCGCTGTGGAGCTTCTCCCTCGGGGACCTGAACAGGATGTTCATGCTGGCGGCGGCGGCGCTGGGTCTCTCCCATCTGCGTCCCCACCTGTACGGGATGAGGCACGGAGGAGTGAGCGACGACCTCCTGTCCCAGCGGAGGTCGCAGGAGCAGGTCTACCGGCGAGGCCGCTGGGCTGTGCCATCCTCGATGCGGAGGTACGCGAAGGAGACGGCCCTCTTGCGCGAGCTGCAGGGCGTGCATCCGGACGTGTACGCATTCGGCAACCTGGTCGCGCAGAGCTTCGCGCTGCTGATCGAGAAGGGCTTCGCAGGCGCGGGGCTGCAGCGGCTCATTCCGGCCAGCCTGCAGGAGGCGCTCATGGGCGGGCCATCGCAGTCCAGGCGTGTGAGGCGGCGGCCTGCCAGCCGCAGCTGAGCGCGGCCAGCCCTGCCGGCGCCAGCGCTGCCGTCAGCTCGGGGCGTCTTCGGCCGCGGCCGGGCGGCTCCGAATGCGCCGACCACCTGCGGCGCCGCTTCAAGGCTGCGGTCAGCCGCGGCTCGCTGTGCCGGCGTCGGGTGGTGCTGGAGCTTTTCTGCGGCAGTGGCCACTTCTCAGCTGCCGCCCGCCGCCTGGGCCTGTCGGCGCTCGGCCTGGACTTTCGGCTGTCGCCGCTGGAGGACCACTGCCGCCGCGACTTCGAGCGGGTGGTGACCGGCTGGCTCCGCAGCCGCGCCGTGGCAGCCGTCTTCCTCGGTACGCCCTGCACGACGTGGTCTCGTGCGCTCCGGAAGGCTCTGAGGTCGCGCGCCCATCCGATGGGCATCAGCGGCCTTTCGACATCTGAGATCGCCCGCCTGACTACAGGCAACGCCTCGTTTTACTTCACATGCCGCATCATACGCTTATGCTGTAAGTTAAACATACCCGTGCTGCTCGAGAACCCTGCCAGTTCTTTAATGTGGCATGCAAAGCTTCTTTCGTCCCTCATCATTTCCCAGTGTGCTCGTGTGTGTGATTTTGATCAGTGCCAATTCGGAACACCCTGGCAGAAAAGGACCAGGATCGCGGCCTGGAGGACGGGCCCTCTTACCGACCTGCATCGGCTCTGTAAGGGCCGCCGGGGTCTCTGCTCTCGCACTGGAAATCGGCATACCATTCTCACGGGCCAGGCCCCAGAGGGCTGTAAATACACTGCGTTGGCCGCCGCCTATCCCGCTAGTCTGTGCACGGTGCTGGCTAAAATCGTCAGAGAAGCGGTTCTGAAAAAGCCACGGCAAACCATGGCCGATTTAGTATGTAAGCCGCCCGCCAACCACATCTAGCTACCTTCATATTTTTCGGCCTTTGCTGCTAAAGCTACAGGCCATGTCTTCCTTATGGGGTATGGGACCTCATCTGTATGTGCCTCGCCGTCCGTACAATAGGTGGTCAATGCTAGTACCTCTCGTCCGGCAGATATCTGCCGTGCCTGGCTCGTGCTTCACACATATGATGAAAAGAAGCGCTCCTGCCCGTCGTCGTCGTCGTCGGCGCCGGTCGGGGCTGCGCTTGTCATCTAATAGATCTGGCACTCGTCTTCGCAGGGCGGGCTGGACAGTTTTAACAACGTGATGCAGAGCCCTGTTGAGAGTGCCGCACGTTCGATATGTCAGTTCAAATCCTTTCGGTTTTCCGCTGACATATGTGCTCAAGTG